CATTCAGAAAGTTAAACTTTCATATATTCATAGATTCATGGGCCACATTTTAATCAATTTCAGGTATTTATTTGTTTATTTTTTACATAATTTTGGCTTCCAGCTCATGAAACCCACAAAAACAGGATTTCAATAAATTAGAATACTGTGAATTAGAATACTGTTTTTGCAGAAAATAAATAAAGAAAAAAAGAAATCAATCAAAATATGGTACTTTCAAAATGATATATCAATCATCAATACTTGGTTGGGAATCCCTTTGCCTTAATCACTGCCTTGATGCGACGTGGCATTGAGGCAATCAGGCTGTGGCATTGCATAGGAGTTATGGAAGCCCACATTTCTTTGATGCTTGCTGTCAGCTCTTCTTTGTTGTTGGGTCTGGTGCCCCTCATTTTCCTCTTGAGAATACCCCATAGATTCTCAATGGGGCTTAGGTCCGGCGAGTTGGCTGGCCAGTCAAGCACTGTGATGGCATGAGCATCAAACCAGGTTTTGGTGCTTCTGGCAGTATGAGCAGGGGCCAGGTCCTGCTGGAAGATGAAATCTGCATCTCCATACAGATCCTCAGCAGAAGGAATCATGAAGTCCTCCAAAACATTCTGGTAGACTGTTGCGGTGACCTTGGATTTAAGAAAGCAGAGTTTACCAACACCTGCACTGGACATTGCACCCCAAATCATGACTGACTGTGGATATTTCACACTGGACCTCAAGCAGCTTGGGTTCTGTTCCTCACCCGTCTTCCTCCAAACCCTTGGACCTTGATTCCCAAATGAAAGGCACACTTTACTTTCATCGGAAAAGAGGACCTTGGACCACTGGCCAACATCTCCCGGATTCGTCTGAATGTGGTGGTTTTTGAAGCTGTGACTCCTGCCTCAGTCCACTCTTTCTGGATCTCTGCCAGATTCTTGAATCTTCTCTGTTTGAGAATCCGCTGAAGCCCACGGTCATCTCTTTTGCTAGTGCATCTTCTCCTGCCACATTTTTCCCTTCCACTAGACTTTCCATTGATATGCTTGGACACAGCACTCTGTGAACAGCCAGCCTCCTTAGCTATAAACTTTTGAGGTTTACCCATCCTATGGAGGGTATCAATGATGGTCTCCTGGGCAGTTGTCATGTCTGCAGTCTTCCCCATATTGAACCGAACTGAGACAATTGAACCAAACCAAAGCAATTAAATAACACCTGGGGAAACCTGTGCAGGTGCTTTGAGTTTAGTAGATGATTGGTGTGTGACACTCAGTTTAAAACATTCATGCCCTGATGATTTCTTCACAGTATTCTAATTTATTGAAATCCTGTTTTTGTGGGTTTTATGAGCTGGAAGCCAAAATTATGTAAAAAATAAACAAATAAATACCTGAAATTGATTAAATTGTGGGCCATGAATCTATGAATATATGAAAGTTTAACTTTCTTAATGGAATTATGGAAATTAAACAACTTTTTCACGATATTCTAATTTTTTGTAAAGGATCTGTATATATGGTAATATATATATAGTAATATTTTAAAAAAGAGGGAGAACGTTTACATTACAAACTGTTAGATAAATCCCATAGACCTGAGCCTTTCATCCTCTGTTGTTAAGTTTTTTTTTTTTCATTTCATTTTATTTCACAGATTACTAGGCTAGGCTATTAATAGGCTGATTCATAATTCAGCAGCTGCTTTGTGTTGACAAGTTGTTGGATGTTGGCATGTTGACAAGACTGTGATTCAGAAAGAAAAACTGTGCTGTGATTCTTGGAGATAGACTTCACTTTACTTTACTGACATTTTATTTCATTGGTAAAAAAATTAAAACAACCTTTTTGTTCCTTAGATGGGGAAACAACCATAACAGAAGATATGGCTTATTTGCTCAAAGCCTCACTGGGACTGTGATACACACACTTGAATAAAAGGTAGACTTGAGATTGGGTAAATACATTTCTGAATGCATTCCGTTGATCCTGGGCAGACTGTTGATCCAACAGGTGAACCACTGATTGGTCAGATGTCATGAATGGACTGTGCCTCAACACTCTTTTTACATATTAATATTTTGACAAGGTTTAAGGGTCGGAAAGTCCTGATGTGAATTTGGCCATTTTGAACACAATATCTAAAGTCTCAATTAATTATTAATATTGCTGTATGTGTTTTTAATGTGTGAATTTCGGACTGAAACCCAGTTAAACCTCATCTCTGTAATGGGTAAGCAGCCGTCACTTCACACAGGTAAGACAACATGAATATGCAGCAACTAACTTGTTGAAGTAGATGATACAGAGAGAAAGTGGTCTGTTTTGTTTAGCATCACCAACAAGTCTTATATTGGTTTTATCGATCCCTGAAAGAAAACTGCAAAATATGACCAAATGGGTACAGGAAATGCTCTGTTGCAGTTGTCTGAAAATGTAATTTCATCCTGGAACAATATGTTTAATAAGTACTTGCTCTTGTATTCATTTAAGTTAAAAAAAAGTTGCTGCCTTCATTGACGGTCTGTGATCTGTGCTAGCCAGTATGCTGTAGATGTTTACTTGTGACTGTTAAAGGTTTTTCAACATCATTTGTATGTTCTTAGGTTCTTTTCTTGAACAGAATAACAATAATAAATATTGAAAAAAAAAAAAACTTAAAAAACATATCGAGGAGGGAAATGGGTGTTTATTATAAGGTAAATTACGATAAACATTTGTCTCAGGTCATTCTGCTTATACCCACAATTAATTTAACACAAATATAATAATAATATAAAATATTGTAAACATACTGTACATGGTCTGTATAGTATGTAACTGCATAAGAGCCCTATACAAAATTAGCCGTCGTTGCAATAATGATTCTATTTTGAAATACCTTTGAAAATGCGTCAGCGACAGCACAAGACTCTTATCAACTACAGTTACATTCCATGTATGGCTGCAGAAACTTTACCACCAAATTTTACACGAAAAAACTTTTTACCTTTTCCAGACAATGACACTTGAAGTTCAATGTTTCTGTATATGTACAATAAGCTGTGCATTATTGGATCCTTATTGCTGCCACTGCTTCAAAAGTGGGGCATAGACACAAGTATAGTGCCTATACCTATACCTATGCCTATACCTGCTACTGTAACTAGCATAAATAATAAACGTCTTAAAGTTCTGTTCGGCCCTTGGTTTATCAATGATAATATCCAAGGTTATAAGTATAAAAGGTTATTATAGGATTGTGACTATATAAAGTTTAAAGTGCTAACAAAAGCGACTACATAAGAGGAGTGAGAAAACATTATATGTTAAGAGTCTAAAATCAATCTATATTATATGTGGCTCCTGTTCTTACTATATTTTACAAAACTCACTAACAAAGGGGAATGAATTTTCAAAGATGATAATGATGACCTCCAGATCCAGGATCATCAATTGCTACCTAAAGAATTCTAGCGGGAACACTGGTTTTATACCATATATAATACTATAACATTAAAATCTGTAACTGAAAGGGATAATCATTATTAAGTGCTGGGTGTGTATCGTCCACACCTATATCCTGTCAAATGAGCATCACATTTGATGGTGTAGGTGAAATAAAGGATGCCTTTTTTTAGCTGACAGCTCAGAGAGTGAGTTCCTCGCTCAGGAAACACCACACAGACTCCAGCCATGTCGTTATAGAGTACATCTCTGTCCCAGACTTCAAACCTCAACCCCTGACCAAGTTCTACCGAGCCAAAGTCATAGGTGGCATTCCACTCTGGGTCATTGTTATCTAACACGGTTTCTGTCTCCTCGTACATGCCGTTGTAGAAGATTTTTACATAGGCATCAGTTTTGGTGAAAGTGTCCGCCCTCAGGCCTGCAGCTCTGTGGATCTCTAATCTGAGATGACCTCTGCCGGCCCTCAGAGGACAGCAGTTGTGATCCAGATTGGCAGTTGGGGAACAGTTCTTGACAGTGGACTGATCCTGAAGTTGGTTTTCCTTAATGTACTCTGTCACAAGGCCTTTCAGATTCTCTCTTACTTGGAAGTCGTCCACTAAGTGGTGTAAGGGTGAGATGGCGTAGGTAACTACATCAGGGTTGTTGTGGAGACTGTTCATCCAGCTGTGGTAGTCTTCAGATGGGTCCTGGATGTCAGGGAAGTACCTCTCTCCTCCGATCACCTCAATTTTATGGGTCATAAAACCTTGATAGAAGCCCATGCTCATGTTGCCCTTCAGAAGTTTCTCGCACTTGTTGGAGAGGGATGCATTACCAGGAAGAAACCCAAGAGCCATTCGCAGTTCGGCGTTCAAGCATTGATTGATTTCTGACTCGGAAAAGCCCTTCAGTGTTGCCAGGCAGGTCCTAAAGGCAGTGATTCTCCTCACTTTACCCCCAAGCTGGACCTAAGAAGAAGCCACAAATGAGTCACTGAGATATATTTTCAGTTCTCTTTTGACTTGTTCTATATTGTATAAGAAAAAACAAACAATATGTAGCTGTCACACTATCTACGTTTTTTATCTCTATATTGCTGGAACAGAGACAGTAACAGTAGGTATTTTTATTCATAACTAATCCAAATGATGGAGTTGTAATGTAAAAAAATGAAACTAGAATATATTTTAGCAGTTCTTTTGGCAGCAGGCTGCGGCAATCTCAGTGCAGAACAGAAACGCTACCAGAAGGCTTTCCTTCCATCAGGCATCAGACTATTCAATACTGCAATTTATCCGCTCATAATTTACTTATTCCAATGCATTCTTCTTCAGTGTTTTCTGCAGCAAGTCTTCTGTCAAGATTTCACTTTTTCACTTATGGACTACGGTGTCAGTGGTTTTTAATGACGCACTATTTTCTTGGATTCTGTTTTAGGATGGTTGTTCTACCCTTCTTACATACAGTAAAACATTGGCTTGCATATTTTTAACCACTACAATCCAAATACATACTAAGTGTGGTTAATATGTATAGACTTATTTCTCCTCCTTGTCTTGTATGTCACAAAACATAATTTGTCAAACCAACATTGTTAGCAAACTGGAAGCCTAATATTTATTAAGTGCTGCACAGTAGACTCTGTCTGACCTGGTATATGTAGTGCGTTCCATACGTGTCTATCAGTCGTCTATACAGTGCTTTGTTCTGGCTGGTGTTCAAACTCTGTGGGAGTCTCTTGAGATGCTTGGAGAATTCAGCACTCTGCTGAGGGTGGTCGGCCAGTCTGTAGCTGAACAAACAAGAGGCGTGCAGAGAAACCACTGTAATCTTGACCTTTGTGTAACAAACTATTGAGTTTATTTAGTTCTTGTCTCACTGCAGCGTGTCTGAGAAGCTGTTGGTTTCATTTTTACCTGTAGTAGGTGCAACTGATTTCATGCATGGCAAATGTGGCCTTGTCCACACTGTGCTGCGAACGAGCGAACTTGGCCAGTTCTGAGCGGCTTCCTCCCAGCACTGCCCTGCCGATGTTATCGAGACTCAAACCCAGATCCCAGTTGGTGTTGACCAGGGAGTTGGAACTACGCAGAAGAGAGTCCACAGAGTGATGAAGGGCACTGGAAAGATGTTTACTGCAGCGACTGAAAGGACGCCAGTCGAGAACAGCTGCTGGGAGTCTCTGAAACTGAGAGAAAAATAAAATTAAACTAGCAGGATTTATATGGATCGCCTGAACAATAGTGAAAGGAAACCCTGTAGTTTTGTTTTGTTATTTGTTTGGGTTTTTTTACCTGTCCGTTTTGGAAACGGTTTGGACACACTGTGCAGGTGTGGTTGTCAACCAGATGAGCTTTAACATTGATGACATACGCCCCTGTTCGATGCATCCTGACAACATCAAATCCCTCTCCTGCAAGGTTGTGCCCCGGAACAAAAGGAGCTTTCTCACATTCTGCTCCAGAGCCAATCCGACAGCCCTGCACTTCACAGACCTCCAGGATCACTGACACAGCCAACGTAAACAAAGAGAAGTTGCTCCAAAGATTTCCTGTCACTGACATGGTTGTCTAGATATGAAACAACATACTTGGGGTAAAAAAAGAAGTCCAGGACAGTCTAAATACTATACAAAGCTAGTGCCAACCACTAGAATTAGAATAAATTTATCTCAAAACATGGAGCTCTTACCTTGGACTTTATTTTTCTTCCAGCTAATCTTATTTTTCGTGTTGACGTTTTGCGCGAATAAGATGCCTTTTGCGTTCAACATTCCATGTTTTCTAACAAAGAGGCCACAGCTCCCAGGACATAAACTGTAAACAGACTTGAATCCTTGTCCTCGCTGCAGGAGTTTGAACCACAAATAAGGAAAAGTCCTGCCAAGTGCACTCTTTTAGATGTCTTTGGCTTTATGAATAAGACCAAAGGGGGAGTTCCTTTGCTTCACAGCGCACTCTCTCTCGCTCTCTCTCCCTCTCTCTCTCTTACTCTGTCTCTCTCTCTCTGTCTCTCTGTCTCTCTGTGTCTCTCTTCAGCCTCCCTGAGGCCTTTTTAATTTCCTCAGCATGACTGACTTTGCCTTTCACTTTTAAGCCTGCATTCTGTGAGATCCCTCACAGCTGTTTCCTTGCACATTTGTGTGTGTGATGGGGAGGGCGTTCACATTTACTGGAAATGAATCAAGGCATGTCGTAGCATGTGCATGGAGTGTGCACGTGGACTGCTTATGGTTTTGTTTCTCTCCAACCTGCCATGCATTGATAACCAGACAAAACCAAGGGGTCAGCTCAGCCTTTGTATATTTGCAGATGTGGGTGGAATTCTGTGGGTTTCACTATGGTGAGAAAATAAATATTTCTGTCAGCACAAAAGGTTGCAGTTAACAAGGTTTGAAGAAAAGTTGCTTTTTTTAACCCAGATCTAATATTAAATGCAAAGAATAGTCCTAAATATTTAAGGTACAGAATAATATTTAAGATAATTAGAATTTCTGAAAACTCACAATTGTCCAATCTGTTATATTTGTGTAAATCACCACCATCAAAAACCAAACAAATATTGTTTCAAATTACTTTATTAGCAAAGGTATGACATATCAGCAAGTGAGAATAAGTACAAAAGACTATTTATTAAACACATTTTTTTCACATAAGAAAAAATATTTGAAATCACTTTCTGCCTTCACTTTCATTTTTATAATTTGATTATTTTGAAAAAGATATTGCAAACCTGTTTTCCAAATAATATCACAAAAGGTTTATTGACATTTTACAATGATACTAACCATCTCTGGAAATAGAGGTTTGTATTGAGGTTTTGCATTGAATACACATTACAATATATTACTATATACACACGTGGACAAAATTGTTGGTACCCCTCAGTTAAAGAAGGGAAAACCCACAATTCTCACTGAAATCACTTGAAACTTACAAAAGTAACAATAAATAAAAATTTATTGAAAATTAAATAATCAAAATTAGCCATTACTTTTGAATTGTTGATTAACATAATTATTTAAAAAACCAAACTAATGAAATAGGGCTGGACAAAATTGATGGTACCCATAACTTAATATTTTGTTGCACAACCTTTTGAGGCAATCACTGCAATTAAACGATTTCTGTATTTGTCAATGAGCATTCTGCAGCTGTCAACAGGTATTTTGGCCCACTCCTCATGAGCAAACTGCTCCAGTTGTCTCAGGTTTGATGGGTGTCTTCTCCAAATGGCATGTTTCAGCTCCTTCCACAGATGTTCAATGGGATTCAGATCTGGGCTCATGGAAGGCCACTTTAGAATAGTCCAACGCTTTTCTCTCAGCCATTCTTGGGTGTTTTTGGCTGTGTGTTTTGGATCGTTGTCCTGTTGGAAGACCCATGACCTGCGACTGAGACCAAGCTTTCTGACACTAGGCAGCACATTTCTCTCCAGAATGCCTTGATAGTCTTCAGATTTCATTTTACCTTGCACACATTCAAGACACCCTGTGCCAGATGCAGCAAAGCAGCCCCAAAACATTCCTGAGCCTCCTCCATGTTTCACCGTAGGGACAGTGTTCTTTTCTTCGTATGCTTGGTTTTTGAGTCTATGAACATAGAGTTGATGTGCCTTACCAAAAAGCTCCAGTTTGGTCTCATCTGTCCAAAGGACATCCTCCCAGAAGCTTTGTGGCTTGTCAACATGCATTTTTGCAAATTCCAGTCTCGCTTTTTTATGATTTTTTTTCAGCAGTGGTGTCCTCCTTGGTCGTCTCCCATGAAGTCCACTTTGGCTCAAACAACGACGAATGGTGCGATCTGACACTGATGTACCTTGGCCTTGGAGTTCACCTTTAATTTCTTTGGAGGTTGTTCTGGGCTCTTTGGATACAATTCGAACGATCCGTCTCTTCAATTTGTCATCAATTTTCCTCTTGCGGCCACGTCCAGGGAGGTTGGCTACTGTCCCATGGGTCTTGAACTTCTGAATAATATGAGGCACTGTTGTCACAGGAACTTCAAGCTGTTTAGAGATGGTCTTATAGCCTTTACCTTTAAGATGTTTGTCTATAATTTTTTTTCGTATGTCCTGGGACAATTCTCTCCTTCGCTTTCTGTTGTCCATGTTCAGTGTGGTACACACCTTTTCACCAAACAGCAGAGTGACTACTTGTCTACCTTTAAATAGGCAGACTGACTGATTATGAGTTTGGAAACACCTGTGATGTCAATTGAAGGACACACCTGAGTTAATCATGTCACTCTGGTCAAATAGTTTTCAATCTTTTATAGAGGTACCATCATTTTTGTCCAGGCCTGTTTCATTAGTTTGTTTTTTTAAATAATTATGTTAATCAACAATTCAAAAGTAATGGCTAATTTTGATTATTTAATTTTCAATAAATTTTTATTTATTGTTACTTTTGTAAGTTTCAAGTGATTTCAGTGAGAATTGTGGGTTTTCCCTTCTTTAACTGAGGGGTACCAACAATTTTGTCCACGTGTGTATATTATGTTATTATACATTATATAATAATTTGGTGAAACTGATTAGAGCTTTTAATTTTGTATAAATAATTCATGAAAAACAAGAAATTTGATGTAGATATTATTTCTTATAATAGTTCTTCCTCAGATGTTAAAGCTCAAATACAAAGCTAATTCCCATCAGGTCAGATGAGCTAGATTTACGAGAACTAAGCGTTTGTGCTTTTAGTTAAGCCTCATTCTCCTGGGTGTCCCTCTATCCCATGCTCTGCCCATCCCTTCCCTCTAATACCTCATAGCTGCTGCCTCTGACAAACCCAAACTGTCGTCCCCTTCTCTTCTTGATGAGAACCGCTCCTATTGCCAGCAGTGCCATTGTACCAATCACCCCAAATGCCACTCCTGCCTTCTCACCACTGGACATCCCATTAAATTCTGGGTTCAGGTTTCGTACCATCTGCTGGACCTCCTCTGGTTTGGCCAGTTTCCACATTTTGGCCTGTCCCACTCTGACCCAGTTCTGGTCTCCCTCAGTCATCACCATCACGGTGTTGGTTGCTCGTATACTGATAAGTGGAGGTTTGATGAATGGAGGCAGATGGATTGGCAGCAGTCGACCATCCGTGAATGCTTTTGACTGGACGCAGTAAAGGATTTCACAGCCATCACTCACTGTAGGAAGATGCTGACTGAATTTGGGAGGGCATCGACGTTGATCTTCTGCCAGCGGGTTGTTTGCATGACAGCTGAACATGCCTCCAAACGGCACAGCATATCTGGTTGCTGATTCGTAGTCTTTGCTCATACAGATTACCTGGTCGTCGGCAAAAAACTTTTGTTCGATGAAGTTGGGCGGGCAGCTCTTGGCTTTGGTGATAGGGTTCAGGACTGAGGGGCCGTAGATGCCTCCAAACAGATACCCTGAGTTGTCTGGGGCCTGTCCATTTGCAGAGCACCAGTAGGTGTGGATGCGAGCTGAACAAACGTAGTACTTGTCTTGACAGTGTTCCCTATAACATGTGAACAACTACAAAAATCCACAACTATTCTTGTGCTTGTAGCACTCATGAACATTGTAACCTTTCTGTTTCTCTTCCGAGGCAAGCAAAGTTGTAACATAAGGTGAGCGACAGGAGAAATCCCCTGTTTGAGGATTTTTTTCAGCCAGTGTTTCACACAGAGGCTCAGCCTCTAAACTGAGAGGAGTACACTTTTGGTCCCTAACAGGAATCATCATCTGTGTTGGCCTGGAAATTAAAATTCTCAGAATTGATGTCAACACAGCCGGGGCGGGTGTTTACTTTGTAGTATCGGTCTATTGCTTGACTAACTTTAAGAGCAACTTTTCCAACAGTAGGCTGCGGCAGATCGGAGATGGTCTTGGTGTTGATGAAGTATTAAAGGGGAATTCCTGATCTGTCAATGGCCACTAGGTTGTTCTTGGTACTTTCCTGCCACTTCTGCAGTGAGATCCCTGGGTAGAAGGGCATGCCTCCATGACTCTCAGTGAGAGAATACTGAATGTTGGACTGGTACGTTCGAAGGTCAGAACTCTTCTGACTGTAGTCGCTGTTTATGTCAAACTTAATTTTGTCAAAAAAATTGAGGCCAGCCATTATTTTCACAGACAAACTTTGACTGTTGTTGTCCGACACATACGTAGAGGTGAGGTAGTCTTCCTCCACCAATGAAGCCCCGGCATCTACACTGGTGATCACATGAGTTCCATAGTCCAGCACCATCTTCTCTGAGAGGTAGTTTGCATTTCTGGTCTGGTTGTTTTTAATTGCATTGCCAATCTCCTTGACTTGCTGGGCAAGAATGAGTCCACTGTGAAGTCTGGATAAGCCTTAACACTGTAGATCAGGTTATGAACATTTGACAGAGAAGAGTTCAAGATTGTGATGTTAATATACGTTGGTATGAAAAAAGTTTGGGCACCCCTGATCATTTTCAAGATTTTCCTATATGTATCATTGGTTTTTCGGAACAGCAATTTCAATTAAATATATCATATAGCAAACAAACACCGTGATATTTAAGAAGTGAAATGAAGTTTATAGGATTTACAGAAAGTGTGCAATAATTACTTAAACAAAAGTAGGCAGGTGCATACATTTGGGCACCCTTGTTGTTTTATTGATTTGAATACCTTTAGCACTAATTATTGGAACACAAAATATGTTTGGAAGCTCATTGACCCTTGACCTACATACACAGGTGAAGCCAATCATGAAAAAGGGTATTTAAGTTGCAAGTTGTTCTCCCCTTTGCATCTTCTCTGAAGACTGGCAACATGGGAGCCTCAAAACAATGGTCAAATGACCTGAAAACAAAGATTGTTCAACACCATGGTTTAGGGGAAGGATACAAAAAGCTAGTTCAGAGATTTCAGCTGTCAGGTTCCACTGTGAGAAACATAGTGAGGAAGTAGAAGACCACAGGCACAGTTCTAGTTAAGGCCCGTAGTGGCAGGCCAAAAAAAACCCTCAGATAAGCAGAGGCGAAGGATGGTGAGAACAGTCAAGCTCAACCCACAGACCAGCTCCAAAGACCTACAACATGATCTTGCTGCAGATGGTGTCACTGTGGATTGTTCAACTATTCAGAGCACTTTGCACAAGGACATGCTGTATGGGAGAGTAATGCGACAGAAGCCTTTTCTGCACCCATGCCACAAAAAGAGTTGCTTGAGGTATGCTGAAGCACATTTGGACAAGCCAGCTTCATTTTGGAGTAAGGTGTATCAGCAAATTCTTGTGAACAATGTTCAAGAATCAGTGACAAAGTTGAAGTTGCGCCGGGGCTGGATACTTCAACAAGACAACGACTCTAAACACTGCTCAAATTCTAGCAAAGCATTCATGCAGAGGAACAAGTACAACGTTCTGGAATGGCCATCTCAGTCCCCAGACCTGAATATCATTGAAAACCTGTGGTCTGTTTTAAAGCGGGCTGTCCATGCTCAGAAACCCTCAAACCTGACTAAACTGGAGATGTTTTGTAAAGAAGAATGGTCAAAAATACCTTAAACCACAATCCAGACCCTCATTGGAAGCTATAGGAAGCATTTACATGCTGTTATTTCTGCAAAAGGAGGATCTACTAAATATGGATGTAATTTTTCTGTTGTGCCCAAATTTATGCACCTGCCTACTTTTGTTTAAGTAATTATTGCACACTTTCTGTAAATCCTATAAACTTCATTTCACTTCTTAAATATCACCACTGTGAAATTGCTGTTCAGAACAATCAATGATACCTAAAGGAAAATCTTGAAAATGATCAGGGGTGCCCAAACCTTTTCATACCACTGTAAATTCATTCTAAAAATAAAGTCTTGTGATAAATAGAACTGGGAAGAAAGAAACACTGATGTGTTTTTCCTCATTTTACTCATCATTTTACAATTACAAACAGCATATTGTTTTATGACTCAGTCCTTTTTTTATTTTCATAATGAGAAAGAAAAAAGCAGAAATTGTGACGTCTCAGAATAAATCCATTGTTCCCTCAGAACTCAGCGTCATTCTTAAAATTTATTTTCAGAATTTACTAATTAAGTATTTTTTTTAGCAAAACGAAAGAAGATTTATCTTCCACAGTTATATTGTGTAGTGTAATGATTACAAAACTGGAATTTCTATCAACGTAACCTAATTTTGCCGTCTGTGTTCATTTGAACAACCTGGGATGTGAGAAAATGGAAGCTTGCCTGCACTCTGGTAGTGGTTGAAGAGTCTTTGACCTGGTGGGTTTTCATTCTCTGACTCTCTGCTGAAAATTTTCCATTCAGCACAGAGAAGAAGGAAACGTCTCCATTGATGCTCAGGGCTGTAGCACTGGTCTGCTCCAGCCAGGAGCTGATGATCTCTGAGCTGGTTTCAACACCAGTTACTTTATGGGGAATGACAAACACTTCATCTGGGATGAGGTACACACTGTTCTCCGTGGTCCGGCACTGGAAGTAGCTCATGTTCATCACCTGACCCATGTCCATGTTCCGCAGGTTGTCCCATCCTCCACCTGGCAGCACCTCCAGTGCTGTGAGGGAGAGGTTGGTGGCAGCGCGACATTGTCTGAGCCAGTTGGTTGGTTTGTTGACCGGGGCAGCAAAGGAGACATGGAGACAGGAGATAACCAAGAAACCCAGCAGTCATGATGACTGTGGTGAAGAGTGACTGAAACACTGTCTAAAATCAAAGCCAGACTCCTCCTACTCTAATAGTTCAGTTTATCACCTGACAAACAGAAGTGTTTGACATGTGTCAGAGATGGAGCTAGCTAAAAATTAAACTTTTACTTCCATCGTTGGCTGAAAATATCAACTTGAAAGACAGTTAAATAAAACAGAAACAATCTTATTGAATCTAATGTCAATGTTTCAAACTTTTAAATGAAGCAGAACCTCTGCCAAAGTTTGTAGGTGCATAGTTTAGTTTTGTTTATCAAACTAAGGTTTGTAAGGTCAAAATAAGTCACTGGTAACTTCCCTCTTTAAGAAGGAACAGAACGTAGATGTGAGAACGAGCTTCACTCATATCATGTCTTTGTTTGGACATGTGTCACATGAATGCACATGAAAGTTCCCTTTTTTTTCAGTCTGAGTCATCACCGTTCCCTTAAAAGTCTGGACAAAAAAACTTTTTTGAAATAACAGTTTTGTGAAAACAATGGATTGGATTGTAATCCACATTATTGAATTGTAATGAATATAAGACTAAATCAAAACTACCTTAAAGTCTATTTCTTGTTCTGCCAAGAGGAAACTGTATGAATATTATTATTATGCAAATGACCATACTGTGTTAATTGAAACACTTCCTCGAGCACTTTCGTTCTAACTTCTTCTTTACCCAGAATTCAATCAGAATTGTCATCAGCAGACTGTGGTTGAAAGCACATGATCAGAAAGAAACAGCAATATTTTAATTTGTTTAGTTTAGTTTGTCTGTTTTCCTCAGTACTGTTTGTTCCATTATTTTTTATATTCAAATGTGTCAACTTTTTATTTCCTTAACTTCTCCTTTTTATTCACCTATTTATACTGTTCAGACCATTCTATATACACCGCGTATACCCTTCAAGGTTGGGGTCACTCATACAATTTTTGTTTTACATTAAAACTTACATGTTTATTCATCAAAGAGTTGAATGAATAGAAAATATAGTCAAGATTAGAAATAATGATTTTTATTTGCAATTATAATTTTAGCCTTTAAACTTTGCTTTTGTCAAAGAATGCTCCCTTTGCAGCAATTACAGGTATTCTTTGGCATTATAGCTGTTCATTTGTTGAAGTAATCAACCCACAAATGTGATGCACCTGATACTTAGCTAGCTAAAGGAATGCTAGTTCTGTACTTTCTCTAACCAGATGGTTTTCAGCTATGCTAACAAAAAAAAAACACAGGGGTTTAAAGGAATGTCTTTTAATCTATTAGCCTTCTAATGCAATTAGCAAACACAATGTAGCATTAGAACACTGGAATAATAGTTGCTGGAAAATGGCCTTTATACACCTATAAAAATATTTAAGTAAAAACCAGATGTTTGTAGCAAGAATAGTCATTTACCATATTGACAAATGTTCTGATTAATTAATGTAATCCTCATTGGAAAAAAACAGTTCCTTCAAAAATAATAACATTTCTAAGTGACTCCAAACTTTTAAGCGGCAGTGTACGTAAATCTGTAGTGTTATTAGGGGTGTTAAATTAACGAGTCAATTGCAATTAATTAATTACAGACACAGTTAGCGTGTTATGTTTTTTAATCACATTAATCAATATTTTAATCTCTAACTTTACTGTTGCTGTATGCAAGTTGCATTTTGTTTTTTATGGGCTTCATGTGCTCCAGTTGTTGGGGGTGGAAAACTAGAATAGAATTTATAGTTAGTTACCGAAGTGTGTTAAACCATAATCTGCTATCAAAGTGTGTTAAATCATAATCTGCTTGTCAGGAACAGGTACTCCTTTGTTGAAGATGCACAGGAAATGTCCATCAAGAACTTCCTTTTTAGGAGATCTTGCTTTGCACAGGAAATATCCTGTAAGTACTCCTAGAAATGTTTTACGATGTGGTCCACAAAGGATAAGGTCTGTTCCTCATCAATTATGTGAATCGTGTGAACTTTGCCCAAAGAGTATATACGTAATGAAAAAACAACTGCTCAGTACTTATGTAACTTTCTCAATAAAACGAGCTGCAGACCTCATACACACTGGGACTTAGGTGAGCCAGCTCTGCGAAGCTGTTGGCCTCTCTGCTCTCCCTCACAGCGAGTAAAACTTACAATGTTGTCATGTGTGGTTCTTTTCAGGTCATTCTATCTGTGGCAGTTAGGTGACAATAGTGGTGGCTGAATAACGTAATTTTCGGCACCAACAAAAACAATGGTCAGTCACACCTGAAGTGGACATTGATTGGCTGTCATTGTGTTTGGGCTGGTTTAGCAGTTCTGTTAGGCAACTGGACGTGCCTAACAGAACTTTTTAAACTTAACCATGACCTAGATGACTGAGAATCTTCATAGACATAGAGTGAAGAACCGTGAGGAGACGTGAAAAGGGAGCAGCGTATAAGAGTTGTCTGTCTAATGAACGAGAAATTTACATTTCAAAAACATCCTGATGGCACCATCGATAAAGGTAGAGTGATATGCCTTCATTGTAGGAAGGAATTTGTAAATAAATGGGTCTTATTAGAAAGCAGTAAATGTTATTCTTGTAATGTTATTCGTTATAAGTTAAAACCTTTTAAGTGGAAGTGGACAGACTCGAGTCACATTGTCTCTGTTGAAAGCGACCAGTTAATCAAACGACCTTTGAATAAGGTCACAGATTAAAGATTTCCTCTCAGGCATTAATCAATCATAGAGCAGAAGCAATAGTCTATAGTTCAGCTTTGTGAGAGTGGGTTTTTTGTGTATGTGTTTTTGTGTGTGTGTGTCTGTGTGTGTGTTACTCTATATGGTGTTCCTCCTCCCCCCCAAGGATGTCAAACCCGTTCTGCCTCCTCTTTCTTCTTTTTCTTCTTCTCCTCCTCCTCCTCCTACAAGCATGTGACCATGTGATCATGACCACTGAAGAAACTTGTGACCAAAGAAACTACACCGGCAGCAGGGGCAGCTCGAAACAGTGTGAGATAAAAAGCTAGACAACGGTTCCACAGTTGTTCTTCATCTAACTCCTTCTTGGGTCACACACTCAGTATGGACTGCGGGATACTAACGTCTAAGAGCATCCTCCTGCTACTCAGCCTGATATTCTGGGTGAGTCAAAGTGTTGACGGCGGTGGCGGTTTTAATTAAAATACAAACATATTTGATTGACATCTTTATGGCCATCTGTTTCTAGTTTGCTGTGATTCTCACCCTCTCTGTGTGCATTTCCTCATTGATAATCTGACATGGTTCACACCTGCAGATTTATTTTCAAAACAGTTTGTTTATAGGAAATCAGACTTAATGCTTAACTTCTCGCTGTCTGTTTGAGGCTCATATTTCCTTGATTCAATTCAGTTATAGGGACTCTTTGTACTGACAGGCAGCACATTAATGTTAACCTTTCAAATTAAAAATATTTACATTCTCAATACACCCCTGTTTTCTTTGTTCAAATAAAACCCTTAATAACTGGTAGTACGAGGGCCATAGTCAAAAAGATTTAAGACTGAGTTTTAATTTCTCCCACAGTCTGATTTTAATGATTAAATGTCTGAACAGTGTTAATATGTTTTTAAATTGCGTTTTCAAAATGAGAGCTTTTGAACCTTCGCTGGAAACTAGTCTGAAGTAAAATTATTGCAATTGTTTTTATTTCATTTGGCAGACTCAACGTTTGAAAGAGCATTAGAAAAAAAAATCAAATAATGATTTATCCTATTGAATGCTGTTTAGAGTCTATACTTAAATGATATTTGGAAAATTGTTGTAAATGTTTTTTTGTTTCTCAGGTGGTACTGTAGGCCAAACAGTTACTGATCCCGAAGAGGATGCAGTGGAATAAAAACCTAAGGTCAAATCAACCAATTATTACACGCAGCTACATTTATTAACATTTCAATATTCCGTTGTCATTCTTGACCTATTTTGTATGTATATCCATCTTTTTAAAGGCCAAACATAGACCCTAAATCATGTGCTCAAAATATTTGCGTAGTATTAAATCAAATCCAGTCTATTCAATGAAATTATTTATAATTTAGGATCTAATTTTTATATCAGTTAAATATGCTGTTGCTGTTTGTCTGCAAATGTCTGCAGTGACTCTGGGAAACTGGGTGATTCATGGTAAAAGTGAAGAGACGCATGAACAGAAATGAATCTTTCTTTCTTATTCTCTAGAGCAGTGGTTCTCAAATTTGTTATACTCTGTACCACCTGAGAAAACATTGAGCTCTCTGAGTACCACCATGATGACCAACATTAGAATATAGCAGCATAGGCCTTCTCTCTTAGCTTCCACCACACATGAATGATGTTTAGAAGTGTTTATAAAGATGTTTGTTTAAATGGTGTATTAATTGTGCATGGTATGTTTCAGATTTATTCAGTGAAAATGTAAATGTGAAAATATGAATTTTCCCCACGTACCACTAGAAAGTGCCTGTACACGTACCACAGTTTGAGAACCACTGCTCTACTGCACTCGTGCCGCTAAAATCATCTCCGCTGATGGAGAAACATCGCCTTAAGGTTTCTCACATTCCAGACCATAGGTTCTGGGTGCTGTGTAAGCCTCTTTGTGCCGCCACTTAGGCACAAGATTTCTGGAAGGATTAGGCAGGTTACTGTTTTGTTGTTGGGGTAGGAGGGGTGGTTAGGAGAAGTGAGTCATGTGGCTGATTCTTGTATCACACTCAATCGTAGACGTAGACATCACATGAGGTGGTACCGTTGCTGTTGAAGTGATGCTTTCTGGTCAACAGTTTTCTTCCGATTCAATTCTGTGCTACTAATCTGATCGGATTTTTTTTTTTTTTTGTCACATGAACAGTATGTAGCCAAAACATGGCAAAACTAGCCAGTGACGTGTCATTAGTGCGTAAATAGTATATATATATTTTTTTATGAATGCAAAGTTTTGAAAAGGCTTAATAGCAGGAGCAAAGCTCATAATGAAGTCAGAAGTCCTGAATGTTTACAGGCGTTAAACGGTATGTTTTTTTGTCCACACAGGAACAACAGACAAATACCGGAGATGAAGACGCTTACTGATATGAACTACAGTGGTATGAAAAGGTTTGGGCACCCCTGATCATTTTCAAGATTTTCCTTTATGTATCATTGGTTGTTCTGAACAGCAATTTCAATTAATTATATCATATAGCAAACAAACACAGGGATATTTAAGAAGTGAAATGAGTTTATAGGATTTACAGAACGTGTGTTATAATTACTTAAACAAAAGTAGGCATAAAGGAAAATCTTGAAAATGATCAGGAGTGCCCAAACTTTTTCATACCACTGTATTTTAAAAATCTGCATTTAGAAAGTCAATACACTTTAAAAAATGTTTTTTTAATAAACTAATACCATCAAAATATTTTTTTTTTGCTGATACCCGAAAACCTCCAAGAATATTATTTGTACCACCTTTACAGTAAAATTTGTTTACATTTATCAGAGTTAATCAGGTTGACTGCGAATGCATAATGATAAGACTCTAACCTGAAGCTTACCTTGAGCTATTGCGTTCTCCCACAGGCTGCAGGAGCAGCGTTGGCTTACATCGGTGCCTATGTGATCAGGAGCTACAGCACCTTTGACAGTTTCATTCAGGACAATTTTGTTCTTGTGCCGGCAGCCATCCTCATCAGCGTGGCCGTGTTGATGTTCTTCTTTGGTCTGTTGGGATGCTGCTCCACCCTGCAGGAATTCAAATGTGGCCTCAGCTTTGTAAGTGTGTCTGGGAGTGTGTCAGTTTTTGTATCTATGAGATGTCGAGCCTTAGAAGACTTCTGCTGAGATTTCCGCTGAAGTTCAAAGGTAGAAGTTTAACTGTTTTATTTTTGTTTTGTTTTTTCTCTTCTTAACACATTTTTTTTTAAATTTCCTTGGTTGCAGTTCTTCCTGATCATCATGGCAATGTTTGCAGCTGAAGTCGCTGCTTTAGTGTTCAGCTTTATCTACCAGAAAAAGGTGAGTCTGATGGTCTGATAAGCCTTTTCTAGGTTGCTGTAACCACTGATTTACCAAGTGAGCCCATCAGTCAATCACATGCCTTCAAATAATTTCTTATCTTATGTGTTTGTCCAGATCAATGGAGACCTGGAGCTCTCAATGAATGAAACTTTTGCAAAGTATAATGATCCGGGCACTTGGTCCAAAGATGTGGACTACCTGCAGACGGAGGTTGGGAGAATGTTCTACTGATCATTTAAAATCTGTACTTCATCTTTAAAATACCTTCTGTTTTAACTTTTTAACTTTTTTTTTTTAATTTTCTAGACTTTACTACTTTGGTTTCTCTTCATTCTTTTTTCAATACTTCTGGCTCTATGTTAATGTTTGGATTTACAGGATAAGTGGTTAATTTCACATTTCCAACATCATCTCACTACTTTAGCCTTGTTGTGATGTAAGTTCCTTATTCATTATGGACTAATATGTCCATAGTGAGGGAAGCAAACACTATTTCATTTATTATCCCACTGACAGACAGTCATAATCTACACCAGGCGTGAGAAAACTATGACCCGTGGGCCACAATTGTCCAAAGATTTAACAGGGGGACATGTAAAAGTCATGCATAAAGCCGAAAATGCTAAAATGCTTCTATCATTTTCTACGCCATCTATTGGGGAAATGTGGATATTCCAGGGAAAAGGCAGAAGTATAATGATAATATAAATAAATTATATAATTTGGAAAAGTTTGGTGGGCTGGATTAAAAAGCTGAACGGGTCACACCCGACCCCCGGACCTTAGTTTGCACATGCCTGTTCTACACCAATCACGCAGAACCAGCTTTGTCCTTATGTCTTTTTTGTTTTTACAACCCAAAACAAGTAAGACTATATACATTAGTGTGCACACCAAAACCGTGACCAGTACTCCTTTAGGTACTGTTCTAATAAATGTGCAGTGAGTTGACAGTGTTGTGTGGTTGGCACAGCTTTTTGGGTTACAGGGTGACTTGCAGTGTGCAGGTGTGAGCTTAACCCAAACCTCAAGGAGAAAACAAAGCTCTCCAAAAGTCCAAACAAGTCTTCAGACTTTATATCACAAACAAACCTAAGGAGACATTTTTAGGAAATTTTAATTTATTTGGGATTACAGGTCTGTGGCCTGAGATTCTTATAGATAAAATAAAAATATTTTGATTCTTATGTTTTCACCTGTCCATTTCCTCTTCGTCTGTGTACAGCTGCAGTGCTGTGGCATTAAGAATTACACCAGCTGGACCAACACAACCTGGTTCACCAGCCACAACAACACCGTTCCTCTGTCCTGCTGTAAAGCCAGCAGCACTCAGGCAGACTGGACCAACCAGCCGAGCTGAACATAGAGGTAAAACACACACAAACACACACACACACACAAACAGAACATTGTTTGTTTGTCCTTGTTTCATTTGTTTGCATTTTAGATGGTCTGCTGCTTTAACTGTGATACAAAAAAATACACACTGCATTTGTACCCACATTTTAGGGTTGTGAAGGCAAACTGGAAAGCCTCATAGAGAATGTGTGGGGTTATGCCGTGCTGGTTATTTTGGGCTTTGCCATCATCAGACTCTGAACTTTTCTAACAAACAGCCACAGTTCTTTTCAGTGCAACTAAAAAATATCTACAAAAAAAATTAAAATTCTACCAGACACATTATAACTAACGAATGTCTTCTTTTTTCCTAACGCAGTTCTTCGGAATGCTAAGCGTCTGTGTGATCACCTGTCAAATCAGCAATCAAAGAAGTGGCTACCAGCCTTTCTATGCCTGAATCACTGCAGAAACTCAGTTCGATCCACGTAGTGTGACATTAACTGGATGATGTGAGCCTTTCCTGTTACATAGGGACAAAATATCTGAAAGTTTTTAATTGTAATTTGAAAACATGGTACTTTTATGTAGCAGGCCCTGGTTAATATTGGTGTAAGGAACTTCAAATTTTGGTAAAGGATGCTAAAGATTTTCCATTTGTGAGTCCTTCAGGTCAAAACAGAGAACAGTTTTGGACATTTATGCTCATGAGTCACATGGAATATTTAAAGTCGATATATTTTTAAATAAAAACACTGTTTTCCTGGGGAGTACCACAACCTGCATAGTCAGCAAATATGACATTATATTGTAAATCAGGAATGCNNNNTGAGAAAAGATTTTTTTTTTTTTGCTGTGATTACACAGAATAGATACAGTATATTTCATTAACGTAAGTGTATTTAATTAAGATGCACATTTGTTTTGTGAAATGTGTGCTTATTACGTATCTAAATAAAAGGGTCAAGACTTCACACAAAAAATACAGATTGTAGTTTTATCACTTTGTTAAGATATAGAGCTTCACCTTTTAATTTGACATATGTGGATGTAGACACTTAAAGTGTGTGATTTGTTCTGTTGTTTAATGGAGGTTTTTCTCCCCCTTAGGCAAAAGTTGAACTTCGCAACACACCCAGTGTACTTCATCGGTTTTACCAAAAGTTGGTCAATTTACATGAGTTGTGGTGGTTGTGAACATTTTCAATATTTTTAATTACAATTTTGAAATTTGTTTTCCACCTTTTGTCTCGATTTAAAAGACATTTAACACAATTTTTCAGGTTCCTACTGAAGTTCTAAAATACCATCAAAAGACATTGATGTATTTGCAGTTTTTGACTTCCAAAATTGTTACATACCACCTTTGCTCTACTGTGATAAAAAAAGAAATGGCGCCACCTTGTCTGGATTGTTATCTTAAGAACATTGTGTAAATTGTTAATCCAACATCAGGCCAACCCATTCCCGCAAAACATTCCCACCTTTTTGATATGTACGGCCAGTGGACCTTGTTTATATGAAGGTATAACCACTCAAAGTTAAGTACAAATTTCTAGTACAAGTGTTTTAGTGTTTTTTGGTTTGTTTTCCAATGCACTGCTATGCCGTAAGTGACACATGGTGACTCCTGTTCTTCTGATTCTGCTGTTTCAGAGAAATCTTTGTTGGCAGGAAATAAGAAAGACTACTCCCCAACCAGGACTGCTGACAACGACATATTTTACATGACAAATTCAAGGACTCAAGGACTCAAGGTTCTTTATTGTCATTTCAACATGTTAGACATGGGATGAATGAAATTAGTTTCCCTGGTCCCGGATCGAGCACAGGTGACAGAGGGGAAGAGTTCGGCATAGTGCGCGAAGAAGAGAAAGTGACGATTGTGCAAGAGTGAAAGACAAGAACAAGAACAACATATGTAGGAATAGTTGTGAGACAATGTGCAGGCCACCACATATTTTCTGTTTGTGGGGTGGTTGTCGGGTGGTGTTGGCGGAGTCGATGTGGGGGTGGAAGGGGTTACAGGGGTCCACCGGAGTTCAACAGTCTCACCTGACAACATTGTACTTTTTACTTGCTGCGAGGGAGAGCAGAGAGACCAACAGCTTTGCAGAGCTGGCACACCTAAGTCCCAGTGTGTATGAGGACTGCAGCTCTTTTTATTGAGAAACAGTTGTAATTACGCAAATCCAAGAACTAAACAGGATCCTGGCATAGGTCCCTGTGTGGTCTAGATGCTGCAGGATGAAGTGGAGGGCTAAGTTGACCGAATGATCTACAGACCTGTTGGCTCTGTAGGCAAACTGCAGGGGCTCCAGGAGTGGATTAGTGATGGCTTTCAGGTGTGTCAGGGCAAGGCTTTCAAATTACTTCATGACCACAGAGGTTAGGGCAACAGGTTTGTAGTCACTTAGTCCGTAGGGGTTTTGCTTTTTGGGGACATGGATGATGGTGGAGGATTTGAAGCAGGATGGAACTTGGCATATCTCCAGTGAGGTGTTGAAAATGTGTCTGTGAACACTGGGGACAGCTGGTCAGCACAGTGCTTCATGGTAGCCCTCTCCAAACAGCGTCGTTAGTTGAGAACTTGTGTTGAAGTTTCTCAGAATACTGTCGTTTAGCTTTCCTCACCTCCTTGTTAAACCTGTATTTTGACTTTTTGTAAATCTCTTTGTCTCCACTCTTGAACGCCTCTTTCTTGAGCCTTCTTATAGGACATAAAGTGAATCCGATTATCGTTTCATCTCGCTCCAACGTTCTCAACTTCATAAAAAAGAACGAGTTACGTTAAACTTACAGCAAAAGGTTTGTCGCAAAATATCCTGCCTGTTTTTTATATTGATGCATTTTATAAAGAACCAGCGTCTTCAGGGCACAATAAGATTTTGGTGCGCGAGCAGTGGCATGGTTCAACACGTGATCGTGCTAGACCAGTTGAGTGGCTGATTGATGTCAACACTTTTGGCAACACGGCTGCCTCCATGGTTTTGCTTAACGTTACCGATAGAGAGTAGTGATGGGAAGACCAACTCTTTTTACTGATTCGGATCTTTGACTCTCGAACAGTAAAATGAACGAGTCGTGAACGAATCTTGAACTAATCATTTCATTTGTTTTACAGCAGGTGGCGCTTTAGCCCTATTGTGGGCGTTGTAAAGAAGGCTGCAGTTCTCTGACACTAAATACTGAAGGCAACATGGTTTGCTTCCGTTGACAAGTCTACAAAGTACACAAAATGCCATAAGCAATTAAACCATGTGAAAACATAAGTAAGAAAAACACACCACAACGTGAAGACGAATTAGAGCAAAATACACCCGAGCTCTCTGTCACGTGACAAATGAAATGAATCTGCGAGAACGAAGTGAAAAATTAGTTCACAGAGAGTGATTCGTTTGCAATGAAAGATTAGTTCACAGCGAAAGATTAGTTCACAGAGAGTGATTCGTTTGCAATGAAAGATTAGTTCACAGCGAAAGATTAGTTCATAGCAAAAGATTAGTTCATGGCGAAAGATTAGTTCACAGAGATTGATTAGTTCACGGCAAAAGATTAATTCACGGTAAAAGATTAGTTCACAGAGATTGATTAGTTCACGGCAAAAGATTAATTCACGGTGAAAGATTAGTTCACGGTCAAAGATTAGTTCACGATGAAAGATTTGTTCGCAGTGAGTGATTAGTTCGCAGTGAGTGATTGGTTCGCAGAGTGTGATTAGTTTGCAGTGAGTGATTTGTGAGTTCAATAAGAACAAACCTTTCATATGACTTGGGAGTAATGAGTCACAAATCTTTCATATGACTCGGGAGTCACGAGTCATATGAAAGATTTGTTCATTTTGAACGAATCACTCACGAACAACACATCACTACTGTATATACTTTAGGAGCTCGTGGCTGAGATTTCCTTTGTTAAATAACTAAGGAGTCTGGATTTGTCCGCTCCACAGACTACAGTATCACAGTATCTGGTTGGCGAGCGCCCGCTGGGCTTCCTTAATGCCAGTCTGTGGCGGCATGTAAACACCGACCAGAATGAATGAAGCGAACTCACGGAGAGAATAGAAGGGATTACACTTGATGATAAAAGTTTCCAATGTACGGGAGCAGAACTGTAGGATCACTGTTACATCGCTACACCAGCCACAGTTTACATAAAAACAGATACCCCCACCTTTACTTTTGCCAGAGAGTTCCATGTTGCGGTCCACTCTGTGTGGATCATGTCTATGAAGATTCTCAGTCATCCAGGTCATGGTCAAGTTTAAAAAGTTCTGTTAGGCAACTGGATGTGAATTTTCTAAAAGAAGACGTTTCACCTCTAATCCAAGAGGCTTCTTCAGTTCTAACTGGTGGTGGGGAGTACAACAGATATATACTCTAGGTGTAAAAGAATAAAGCTACTTCAGCTCCATCCTGTTGGGTGGGGCCTTGGGGTCAACTGTGAAACAGTCGTTAAGAGTCTGATAGGTATTGTTCCTAAAAGTGGAATACCTGGGCCTTCTCAGCATACTTGAGGTCTCCAAGTTTGCTGAGAAGGCCCAGATGTTCCAACATAACAAAGGTAAGGAACGACAAAAACATAAATTCCTTATCCTCTAGTCCAGACAGACCACCGCCGCGGAATCTACACGAAACCTCAGAGATTCCAACACTACAAGGCAGGGCTCCCAGGAGAATTGGGTGAAGAATTTGTCTGACAGAATCCTCACCCAGCCAGAAAAGGACATCTTGGCCAAAGGGCTGAACTTTGCGGTCAATCCTGCACACATCCCCACCGTGGACCTCATCACAGCCATCAAGACAGCCATCAGAAACAACCGTTTAAACACCACAGAAGCCGAAAAGCTCAGGTTGAAAGTTACTGCGGCTCTCTCCAGTGCGAAACCTCTCCCTTCAAACCTGTCCCTCCCTGAGAAGAAAGCGCTGGCAGCACTCCAAAGAGACCTAGACACCACCATCCTTCCAGCAGACAATGGTAGGTGCACAGTTGTTTTAAACACAACAGACAGTTTCTTCTTATCCACTATTTGCAATTAGTTTCCATAACTAATTTTATCAATGGCCATCCAAGTCATCCGAATTTAATTGTTATAGATTAATGCTGTTTGAAGCAATAGCTAAGAATGTCCTGCAGGTGGGGTGAGATATTTTGTTCTGATTTAACCCTTGTGTGGTGTTCGGGTCTGTGGGACCCATTTTCACTTTTTAATAAAAGAAAAATGATATATCAAACTGAGACTCACTGGCTTTGGCTGATTTTTTGTGAAGAACATATATCAGAATACATATTTAATGACCACACACCATACACCGCCCCCTACACATTTCTATTACATATAAGATGTTCGGGTCCACTGGACCCGGGGCTAATAGAAGTGTGGAAATTGATGTTCTGTGTACCACACACACACGCGCACATGCACCCACACACGCACACACACACTCTCACACTCACACACACCAGGCCTAGACAGGAGGAGGACAGAGTGTAGGTACACAGAACATACCTATAACATATAAATGTGACATAACAAAAGTAAAGGGCAAATATTAACCATATATATTGTTTATACTGCTTGTAATTGGGATAAGGTAAACATCTGTTCAGTATTTTAACATCAAAAGCCACAAAATGCAACGGGTCCATCAGACCCACAAACACTGGCTGAATAACAACAATATGAACATTACACAGGGGTTAAGGACTGTCATTCGTGCATACGATTGGGAGCTGGGGTGCTCCCGTGGTTAAGACTCTATCACCACAAGGTTAACGTTCGACACTGTCTAGTCTTCGGAACACACCCTAGTACCCCTGGTCCATTTGGGGTGTATAATTATCATTATTCTACATGTTAATGGTCCGTGGCGGATCGACCTAGAGAAAACCCAGGCAAACACAAGAAGAACATGCAGACCTAATACTGAAACTGAAAAAGAAAAGAACATACAGTCATGTGAAGAGATTTTGGCCTTAT